AACAAATATAAATAATGCTGTGAATTCCTCGGATAATCCTATCTAATTATCCGGTGCTGGTGAATGTTGGAACGCTTCACGTAATAATTATCCGTAACTTCTATTCTTTCCCGCTTCACAGCATTATTTATATTTATATTTGTTAAAAAAATGTGGAACGCTTCACGATTTTGCGTGTTCTTTAATTAAAGTTCTTTAAAGCGGATAAAGATTTTCACGCGGTTGGTGGCATTTGACGCAGTTTTTTAAGCTTCATGAAGAATCTTCAAGTTTAAATTGATAGAACGAAAAATTTCGGAGTAATTTCGAAAAAACACTTTTTTCAGTTTTCTTTCATCAACGATAACTCACAAACGAATTGACCGATTTTGACCGGACTGGCGGCCATCAACATGGTTTTTTGATGTTAAGATCTGATTAGTTTTTGGAATTGATCGGTAGAGCCGTTTAAAAGTTTTTCCAAAAAAACCACATTTGAAAAAATTTTATTGTAGTTTTTTTGCGATTTCTCAAAGTCTATTGGTCCGAATCGTTCCAAAGTATATTCAAAATCTAAGTTCTGTCAAGCCCTTTTGAATGGCACTAACCGCAATGGAATCGGTCAAGCCGTTCAAAAGTTATGAGAGGTTTACACACACACACACACACACACACACACACACACACACACACACACACACACACACACACACACACCGTATTTTAAAAATAAAAAGCGGTTAACAAAACCCTAATAGATATTAATACAGTTTTGGCTTAGCATCTTAACGCAGATATTAATTTTTACCGGCGTTAAAATGGCTACAAAAAAATTTTAATTTTTTGTGTCTGTCCCATAACTTGTTGACCATAAGATATCACTTCTGTCGCGACCCTCAAACCGATGTATTTCTTAATTAATTAACTTTGGTCACGGTATTTAATTGCATTTATGTATAAAAAACAAAAGTCTCAATCGTTATATATGTATCTGATGTAGAGATTATAATTTTTGAAATTTTTATACAAAAATGTCACTTTTATCATAAAAATTTTATGGATCCAAGGTGAAAAATTAACCCTTGAGACCGTATCTACCCCCATCAATCGGAACTGCAAGCTCAACGTCTATGTTACAAAGTGAAGCTTAACTTGAAGCGATCCATGATTATTTTTTGTGAAAAGACGATTTTTTGATTTTTTTACCTATTAATTTGTTTTTCTTTCGCGTTTCTTTCAAAACTATTCCTTTGAAATTGGTGTACACGATATTTCAAGATCTACTCCAATGATCCGGCTAAAATTCACAAGCATTATTTTTTAGAGTATTATCTGAGATTTAGTGTAGAATTTTTTCAATTGGATGTCATGTTTAAAAACTAGAAATTTTTTAAACGTAAAATTTCGATAAAATTAGAGTTATTTTTTTTAAAAAAAAGTTGCATTTACGTTTAGAGTAATGATTTATTCATTTACTTAATATTTTTTATCTATTTTCTGAACACCAAGGTAGTACAAACTCCATGAATTTTTGTAATAAAAAAAAAATTATAATCCCTAAACAAATAGACATGATCATTGTTCTGATTTTATTTTGCAAGAAAGTTATTTAAAAAAAAAAATTCCACGTGTAGAAAATTTAAAGCACTATAAAAGTTTCTTTTTTAAATGGTTTCTTAAAACTAATTTATTTGCTGAATAACACTAAAAAAAAAAAAAAAAAAAATAGGCAGATGTTTATTGATTTGAGTATGACTCCTAAATCTATTTAGAACATAACATAGGAAAAATCAACTATCCATTTTCATTAAACAAAATTTATTAGACTTGATATTATTTTAAGATAAAGATAACTAATAGTTAATAAGATACTTGAATAAGAACTGAATTCAGCAGAAAATAATGAATTGACCATAGAATTTTTAAATAGTAATAACTCCATAACAATAGAGTTATATTATATGGTTAATTATTATACAGATAATTAATTGTGCTATTGAGATGTCTCAGCGTTGATTCACTGGTTTTTTTTTTTTTTATTTTTCAAGTGAGTAATAGAATAGAGAATAAACAAAAGCTTTCTGTAATATGATTCGTAATTACTGACCTTTATCACAAGTGGAATAATTTCTTTTCCCTTTCATGAAACGATCTAAAAAGAAATCACATTTTTATAAAAAAATTTTTACTCAGCACTTCATCATCATAAAAAATTTGGAAAATCTTTGACACAGATTAAGATAATGTATAAGTACTAAATGTTTACAAGTTATTATAAACATAATTGTCAATTGTAATATGATAAAATGATTAATTATGAAATTGTGTATTTAATATACTTACTTGTTTTTAAAAATAACTGAGTGACATTTTATGGGTGTCGATATAACTGACAATTATTATGTAAAAAAAGAAATCATTATTACTTTTGTTTGAAGTTACACAAAGAATGAATGACTATCAGAAAGTGACTGTCAGTGAAATTGAAATCAAAACTATTGTTCAGTCGAACATGAACTCCGTTATCCTAAACTCAATATTTGTCTTTCATACATTCATACTTGTGCAATTCATAATATCGCGAAGAACCGCTTATGACGTATAGTCTGTACTTATGGTCCATATGTCCCATATCAAATGTTGCAGTGTTTATGACATGAAAAGATGTATTACCCCTTACCAAGATATTTGCTCCGAATAGTGCCGAATCGAGCGCCACCTGTAGGAATCTTATAATAGCTGCAACGTGAAAAGTTAAAAAAATTGAAACCTAAATTCAAAATTTTATGTAAGAAAAAAACTTAGAATTCTTCATTTATTATTATTAATTATTAATTTTAGATGAAGCAGTACTAATTTAATTTTTCAAAATTTTATTATACTACTTATGTTTTTAATAAGTTTGTAAATAAAGTCATGAAAAACGTTTGTAAAAGCTTGAATGTTTTTTTTTTTTTTTCTATAATTATATTATCTAATTTACAAAATTATTGGAATTCTAATGAGATGAAAAAAAAAAAACGGATTTTGAGAAACTCGCACCTGGCCAAAGATAAAGTTCAAACATCATCGCCGGTTGGGAAGTGAACGCCATCTCGAAAAAAATCTGTCATTAAAACACTAAACACAATTTTTTCTTAATATTAAAATAAGCTGATGATTTTTTAATTTTTCTGTACCAAATAATTGACTATCACAAAAATGAAAGAATACCTCACTTCATTTTAAAAATTTCACTTCTTATTTTTCAAAACTTTTGCAATTTTAAGACATTCGCACAAAATTCGTGCACGTATGCACGATGCAAATGCATAAAAAATTTCTTCCAAAAGAAAACAACTTGCATCAATTTTCTCAAATTTGTGAAGGATCCATATAGTTTTTAGTTGATTTTATAAAAATCTAACTATTGCATTCGTTCTTATCGCGCAACTTTTAAAACATTTCAGTTTTACTGTTGGGCCGTTTTAGAATTATTATATGGCTGTATATATCATAGTATAAACATGATGTAGATTCAAAATCATGATATTGATCAGTCTTTCGTATAATGATTCGGGTAGGTCGTCAGAAAATCTATCACAAATTAGTTACAAATATTGTCTTCTTTAATTGAAATTTCATCCGGTTCTAAAATTCTGATTAACTTGGAAACTGTCGTTCCTAAGCAGTCACTTAAAATTTGGACATTGATAAATAAAATCTCATAATCTTTAAAATTGTTTGATAAATATTCGAAAAACTATTTACTCTACATGAAAATTTTTTAAACAAAATTAATTCTAAATAGTTTTAAATTAATTATTGAATTTTTTTTTTTAATCAATGAATTAAGTTTATGTTATTATAAATATTATTTTATAAAAAATAAATTTTCTTCATATGAGAAATCTACTTCCATTTCGGCTGCTGAATGGCTACATTCGTGGAACTAATATGACTACGGACGATGTATACAGCCAATTTAAAATCAATAGTCTAAGTCGTCGACAAGTTGCCGATTTAATATTTTTCTATAAATCCGTCAACGGACATATTGAATCACCAGAGATACTTGAACAATTTCAAATTATCCATCCAAGGCCACGCTTAAGACAACATAGATTGTTGGACGCTATTAATTACAGCCAGAATACTAACTTCTTTGCGGACTCACTATCTGCTTTCATAACAAAGATCAAAAATACGATACTTAACAACTAATTCATGTGCAATATCACCAATTTCATCATTTTCATTATTTATATTTATATTAAATTCAAACATCACTTAAAATATATTATTGTTACTATTAATGTATATTGCCGATTGGCGTTCTTTTACAATAAATAAATAAATAAATAAATAATACTCCAATAATAATGTAACCAACATTTTTTCTGACGACTAGACGGCTACTTTCAGGATCATTAGAAATTTGAATAGCGCGCTACACGCAAGTCTTACTTTTTAACCAATGAAGAATCATGTCTCATTTTTTGCCAGTTTCGACTAATGACTAACTTCATAACGTTCATGTATTATTATTTAGAGGATCATTATTGAGTCTGGAACACTATTGTTTTTATAATCGAATAATAAAAAATATAAATTTATATGATTCAACATTATTTATTTATCGCAGAATACGAAAAAAAACAATCGTTCTATTATTTAAAATTATATAGCATTGTTTTAAACCAAAAAATTGAAAAAATTATAATTTTATGAATTAAAAATATGTATTTTCTACGTATGCTGATTACGATTTGTTTATGTTTTTAGAGTATTTGTTAAGAGACTGAGATTCATCCCCATTCATTCCGACACTTAATTGTTTTATTCCTGATTCATTATTATATCTTTTATATTCATACTAATAACCAACGCCTAAATGAGCTTACTATTTTAAACCTAAAAAGTGAAGTGATACGGAATTCAGAAAATCAATTCTGAGAAAAGGTCAGCCACCAGGTTTAGTGATCAATTGTTTACAGGTTTTTAACTTATATATTTATAATTTATAATTTATATACAAATAAGAAAAATAGTTAGAATAAGTTATGACGAATTAAATAATCATATAAATGATATTTTTTATTATCTATAAAATTCTACATATTTTGGAATTATAACAATTAAACAATATGTCATCAACCCCAATCTGGGAAAAATGTAAATATATTTATAATTTACCTTATAACGCACGTGTAGAATTGTGCAATATATTGAATCAAAATGACAAATGGGAAGAACTTGCTGGTAAGTTTGTTTGAAATATATTTTTTCAAGTGTAAAAATTAAAAAAATTTATATTATTCTTTTGATTGATACGAAATAGGTAGATGGATGCAATATGATCTGCTCGCAATTCAAAATCTCCGGAGAGAAAAAAATCCTGCTGATGAATTATTAAGTTTATGGAGTATTCATAATCATACCAATTTAGAGTTGTTCATTTTGCTTCAAAGAATGCAACATTATCGTGCGATGGGTGTATTAAAGCCATTTATTGAAAATAAATATCACTGTTTATTGGAGAAAGGAGAAGGAAATTTACAATTTGCGATAAAAAATGAAAAATATACTCAACCGGTAAATGAATTGAAAATTGACACACAAAATTTTGATAGAAGAATGTATCATTCTCCAACTCCTCCAAAAATTGTTCTGAAAAATTATAATAATAAAATAATTAACCAAATCGGACGGATAAATTTATTAGAAACAGCTCCAAGTGATTCAAACAATCTTTTGGCTGGTTCGTCGTCAGTCCCTTCTCGAATTTCTCCAATTTTAGGTTGCATTGGGACTTCCCAAAAGTTAAATGGATTGTCACTTAAAACAGAAATATCATTGCCTCAAATACCATATGAAGAACTTACTCGTGCAACTGATAATTGGAATCAACATAAAATTCTAGGAAAAGGTGGTTTTGGAACAGTATATCGAGGTATAAATATTTTATTGATATATATATATTTAATCTTGATCAAAATTATCAAAAAAGATTTGATTTAGGAATATGGAAGAATACAGATGTGGCTATAAAAAAAATAGAACGCAGAGGTCCCGAATCTGACGATAGCTATATAATTCAACTCCAACAATCACTCAGAGAAATAGCAATTCTAAATTCTCGACCTCATGACAATATTTTATCGATCTATGCATTTAGTATTGGTGGCCAAGCACCGTGTCTTGTTTATCAATTTATGAAAAATGGTTCACTTGAAGATTGGATATCGTTAAGACGAAGATCACCTCCTTTGACTTGGCTACAACGGCATGAAATAATAAAAGGTATTGCTCGAGGATTACAATATTTACATACAATCGGCGAACGACCGCTTATTCATGGTGACATAAAAAGTGCTAATATTTTATTGGATAAAAGTTTTGAACCACGAATTGGTGATTTTGGCTTAGCACGAGAAGGACCAATCAAAGATTTCATGAAGGTAATTTTACATTTGAATTATATTAGAATATCTATATTATAGGTACCATAAATAACTTTATTTATTCCATATCATAGGTCAGTAAAGTACATGGAACAAAACCATATTTACCTGAAGAATTTTTGAGAGGAAAAATTTTGTCAACAAAAGTCGATACTTACAGTTATGGAATTGTTTGCTTCGAATTAGCAACAGGCCTACCTGCCTACGATCATGCGAGAATTGAGCATAAATTTCTTAAAGATTTTATTGATAGCTGGAGTGATAAAGATATTTTTTTCTTGAAAGATAAAAAAGCTGGTGATGAAAGTGAAAAAGTTTTTGATAATTTAATTTTACTTGGTAAGTGGTGTTCTAATAGATTAGCTAAAGATAGACCTGAAATGGAGCTTGTTTTTAAAAAATTAAATAGTATATAACTTTTAATAAATAATCACTTTTTAATTAATTTATTAACGGCTAATTTTATTACAATTTAGATTTTGTTAATCAAATAAAAGAAATAAAAAAAAATTATCTAAATCGTAAAAAACATCCGCCGCTTTTTGACGTGTATGAAACTTACAAAAATTTGAATTTTAGATTTTATATTATTAATGAATTTATTTCTGTTGTTATAAAATTAAATCTTTTGAAATTAAACAATTTATATAATCAAAAATATTAATTTCGCTTGTTTGGTGACAATAATAAAAATTTTCTTTAGAGTAACTCAACGTCTAAAATACATTTACAATTGAATTTTCCTGGAGCGCGTTAATTAACGTATGTTCTCCCTTTTTATTTATTTATAATATAATTATGCATAGGCGAATAGGCGAATTTGAATTTTCGATCACTTAAAAAGTTTTTTTTTTGACAAATATGGTGGAAAAATTTATTATAATTAAAGTTTACATATACTAAGTAGGATCATTGAATAGCGTGAATTATCAAAATGCAATAAATATATTCGTTACAGAATAAAAAGTTATTTTTCTGTGATATTAAACAAAAATATTTTTATGTAAATAATAATAATATAAGTACGACAGAATGAAAATAGTTTTTTCCTATTCATTTTATATAAACAATAAGATTATTTTCTACATTACTCTTAATAGTTATAAATAATGAAACAGAAGAAATAAACAATTTAAATATGTTATATATTTGTTAAAATTTTATAAAAACAACTAGAAAATATTTTATATTCTTAGAGGATATTATTGTTATATTACTAATTACAAATTTAGATTTATATAATAAAGTGAAAAAATTCTTAAATATGCTTGAAAATAATTCCAAAAATTTTTATACATAAACTTTTATACTCATTATTAAAGCAACAAAATTTATTTGTGGTGCTAAATTTGTTGTTAATTATTTGCTCCATTTAGAATTTTGTTGCTTGCTTAGATTCCGAGAAATCAATAATAATATTGTTATTGTCATGTATATTTGTAAAAAATGTTTAAACATTAAATATATTTTTCTGATTACTCATCGTACAAATTTTTTTTACCAAATTTTTTCATTTTCAATTATTGATGCCAATCAACTAATTATGTAGCTCAGAACTAAGTTTAATGTAGTGGATTGCTAGCTGATGTTTTAAAAAGAGTTTATATTTTAGTTGATTTTGTTATCTTTCACACTTTTATTAAAAAATAATGTGTTCAGGCTATTTGATGGTGACAAATTTATTTGATCAGAGATTTAAATTAAAATATATATACTTTGAAGTGAATTGATGATTTAAAAATAATTTTAGTGAAAGGTGAATGAGATAAAAGCTAGAAAAATTGATCATACTGTAAATCCTACTCAATGACACATTAAAATCAGCTGATTATATTTTTGAATATGATTTTCGTTTCATGTGTTAAAATTTAAAATATATTCTACAAAGAATGTAACACAATAATTGTATTTTTGGAATTATCTTTGTTTAGATTAATGTCTTATATAACAGCATTAAAATTATTTTTTAAACGCTCTAAATATGTTTGACGGCATTCCATTTCATCAGCTGGCCGGTTATAAGGTAGCCATACTGGTTCACCAACAAAATAACGTTTTGCTTTTATGTAGTTCTATTGGAAAAAACAAAGAGCATTAAAATATTTTATAAAAATAAATAAGTTAAAATGAAATCTTGTAGTATGTTACATTCATGTCCAACGTAAATCGATGATATATCCCGCTAGGAATAATTATCAAATCTCCTGATTGAACTTTGATCCGTATCCATTCATCATTTTTATCTCGAACATCAAAGTATCCTGATCCTTCTAATACTAATCGAATCTCTTCGTCAGTATGTAGATGTTCCGTAAAAAAAGTTTTCAGCTGTTAAAATAACATACGAATTAGTCAGAGCTAAAATGTCAATAATATAAAAATATTAATACAATACTTTATTATCATAATCTCGCAAGCATTCTTCTGAACACACAATCTCATCTTCATAAGAATATCCGCGCTTTGACCTTAACTCTTGTAATATTTTATCTGATCCGTAATTTTGTGGATTGATCTAATTATTATTGAGTGAAAATAAATTGGATAGACATTAAATAAATAAAAAATAAGAATATCAATGAAGTAAATATTAAGTTAAATCAACCTTGAAATGTTCCACTCCAGTACGTTTGAATAATTCAGACAAAGAAAGATATTTTGGAGGTTGTCTATGATGATCTAAACGTTGATCGCTATCAGTGTCGTCCATATACCAGACTTGAACCATTTTTACAACTACTTGTTATTAGAATTATTATAAAATAATAGCTATAATGAAAAAACTGTATTAAAAAATATCTTGGTTATACAAGCCGTAAATGTAGTAAGCAACTGATATTTTAATAGACTGATTGCAACTGGTAAGGGACCTAAATATGACTTATATTTTATTAATGTTATGGCCGGAGTGAAACGTAATTATTATATGATGCTGTAGTATTTATATATACATAAATAGCATGATACTTAAAGTATATAATTGCATGTTTACTAAAGATAAGTGTTAATATAAAAAGATGCAAATCATTCTATATCACTGAATTTTTATTTATGAAATGATAACAAAGTATTTTTATTATTATAATAAAGTTTACGCAGTTTATATATTTTCAAACAGATTGAATGTTTATTATATGAAATCAATGTCAATGTAAATACGTGCATATATAATTTAAAAAAATCATATAAATATTAAGATGCTGAAGAGGTATTATTGTTATTTTCATTTTAAATATATTCTAAACCAGTTTTATTAATACGTTGATTTTTTATTAGAATTCAACTTTTGTTTATTCTTAGCAGCTGAAATCATGATTCCGCTATTTTATTATTTATCAAGTTATAAAATATGTCAGAAGATTAAAAACAGTAGTATTTTGCTCTTTTGAAATATAACTTTTCGATGCGAGCGGTTTTTTCTACTTGCAGTGTCTCATTCATACATATTTGGGCATATAATATGTCTGATAGATTGAATAGTGTTTTGCAGAATATCGCTCTCACAGAAAAATTTTTAGTAAATTATTGAAAATATGAAAAAATTTTTTTAAATCCACATATATCAAACCATTTGGGAGATCTAGCGAAATCAAATTAACAGATCGGCTAAAATTACGAATTTATAATATATGAGTTATTCTATATCTTAGTGCTTGATGATAATGATTAGGCTGACAGCCTATAAAATTAATTATATGAATATTTATTTCATTTATGATGATTTTTGTGTTCGTGAGCGAGTATCTTTTATTTGAACCAAAAATATCTATATTGTTTTTTTATTCCAATAATTTGTTCCTTTTTCATGATACTATTTCTACTTCATTCAAAAATATAGTTATGCATAACGACACTGATAAAAACATTCTTGTTTTTTTTTTTTTTTTTTCTCTTGCTGGTGTAGTCCAGCTGGCCTCTATGAATATCATGTAGAGCCAATGTTTGTTCGGCAATGAGCCGAGTCCTCACAGTCGAAGACAATCGAAAATTAACCTGGCGCATAGCGAAAATTATTCGACCATGGTGGGACTTGAACCCATGCCTGGCCAGTACCCGTAGTTCGAAGTCAAGCACGTTAGCCGCTCGGCTACAAGTATTGGTCATTATCTTGAGTTGAAAGAAAAAATCTGAAAGTATATTAACCCTGCAGGTCATCCCTGGAACTTCTCTTCTATTTTCAAACTCAAAACACTCAAAACATTTCCTATTTCCAAGTTATGAGCTCTTAGAACTCACAAATACATCTTTTAGACACTTTTAAGCTCAAAAATCTAGTAGTCGTATTGGTAAAACACTTTTATGAATGTGTCAATTTTGATGCGGTTTCTAGCATTCGGTACAGTTTTTAAAGCAAAAAAAGATAACTTGTCACACAAAGAAATATGACATAAAATTCAGAAGGTATTTCAACCCAAAAAGAAAAATACTTATTTTGAATTTTTTCGACAACGATATTTTTTGAACGAATGATAATTCTTTTACTTAAAAAAGAGTCTGACAAGAAAACTCGAAGCTATGTAAACTCAGTACACATACATACATGCTTGTAAGCATACAAATTTACTAATATACATAAAAATAATCAGAAAAGCACCCTAGAACCTCAATACGTGAGAAATTTTATGAGAACTTGATTTTTGAAAATCGGAGTGAAACCAATAATTTCCCAATTTTTTTTTAATTATTGATTATTATTAATATTATAGCAAAAAAATTAAAAATTACGAACCAAGCAAATCATTCAAAATAGCCCTGATTAGAAAAAAAGATTTAAAATGAATCAAAAGATTTGTTTTGAGAAATATATAGATATACATTTTGCATTGAGGTAATATTTTTAAATCCCTTTTTCTAATTAGAGAGTTAGGTTGTTTTGAATAACGCAGTAAAATTCTTCAACGAAGAAATTTTACTTGGTTCAAGAATTCTAATTCTTCTAAATGATTTTCTTGGTTCAAGATTTTTCTTAAATCAAATTAATTTTTTCATCAGTGTATATGTGATCAGATATGAAAACATCTAATCGTATACCCCTGTAACAATATTGGTCATGTTTTAAGCAAGTTTCTAATGTGCAAGTGAAATACTACATACAACTACCTATAGCCTTTCTAAATCTAGTCTGGACAATCACTATTAATTAAGGTATACTTATAATAGATCATATATGAATATTTAAAAATTGTTTAATTATCAGTTTGGTGAGGATTAAAATCCATTAAAAAAGTTTCTCAATTGACTACTATTTATTTAAGTCAAAAATGTTTATTAAATTTTATCAAAGAGTAAAAATTCGCAATTAATATAACAGTTTAAAACTATTAAAAATTATTCATAATTTTGTACCCATGTAGAAAGTAAAAACTCTTCTTTGGCGAACTAATTTTCATGAGTTAAGAAAAAAATTGTTTCGGTTAAAATTTTATTGAGAGATAGAAATTTTTCTGTTTCAAGAAAATTTCTTCTTGCTTCAAAATAGCTTAGAATTTTCGAAAAATTTTCTTGGCACAATTTCAAATAACCGGTTTTACAAGCGTAATATTAGCATAAGTAACAATCTTTTACAAGGCTTGCGCAAGGCTGCTCTAAAGTTTGATAGTTGTTAGCGTCTAATTCTACCTATGGGTCTTGCTACAGATACTTAAGACAGATTTAAACTGCAAGCACCTGCTGCAAGTTTTTGGTGTAACAGGAATCTTGCTCAAACACGTGTCCCTTGGGAAGAGATAAAATAGACTAACTTAAACTTATCTGCCATTCATCTAATTAACAATTGCATTTAATAAATTTTATGTAAACAATATTATTAACGACTAAAAAATTCATGATCAATAAGATTACTTATCTAAATATTGATGATTTCTGATGCTATTTAACTCTTGCAAGTAGCATTATTTTTCACTTTTTTGTAGTTGAGCTTCTTTTAAGTCTTTTTTGATCTCCAAATCAAATAGAAATAAAAAATTCCATAAAAAATAAACTTATGAATTATAAATTATAGATATTGTCTTATAATAAATGTACATTGACCAATAAAATTGAATTATTTTATTTCATAAATGCCCATCCAAGATTATGCATATGTTTCTATGTAAAACTTATTCAAAATATATGTCTTTTTAGCATATAATTCTTCAATGATTGACTATCATTAAATGCTTTGTTTCAAAAAATTTTAGATTAAATTTTCAGAAGATTTCGTAATAAAATTCGTAATCTAATGAAAAAGCAGGCAACTATTTATTGAGAGTTTCGTGTTTATCAGTATATGTATTTTGTACTAATCATAATACTATACGTTTACGATTTTTTTAATATTTCATGAAAGTGAAACTTTTTCTTACAAGCTGTTATATAGGCAATTTGTGTAAATAAACAAACCAGTGCTCTTTTTATCCGACTAGACATACTTCCATAATTCCATTAAACTATTAAATGCATGCATTACTAATAGCGACGCAAAAAACCTACTATATTAATTTAATTGACCCTTTTTTGTTTTGATGATATTAAATTTAAAGAGCTAACTTTAAATTAAAAACGAAAAAAATTTTGCGTCACTTTGATACTCAGACATGACGATTTTTTCTCGGATTTCTGTTATATATAAGGATTGAGTGCATTAAAATAGAAGAAAAATCTATACAGAAATTGAAATTATAACTAGTGTTTATAAATAAATATATTTTACAATAAAGTATTTTAACCAAAAAGATCTGTTTTTGAAGTGATTTTTTTGATTGCTGGTAAAATGCGTATGGCTGTATATTGACCATATCCAAGTGGTATCTTTAAGTCAACACTATCTCTTCTTTCATCACTATGTTGCTCAGTTTGTTGATTCAATATCCATAACATGCCTATTAATGATAATAAAAACGTTGTTCCTCCAGCTATTGCAAGTAGACAGATTGTTGCTGTTTGCACAATAGGTCCGATTTGTAGTAATAACTTCATTGTCATTAAAAGATCAGGACTAATTGATGGAATTTCCTGAAGGTAAAAGAAGAAAAATAAATTATGACTTTAAAAGATAAAAAAATGAGAACTAATTTTTGTTCTCTTCGATACATACTAAATCATTCCAAAATAATGGTATTGCGAGATTGCTAAACGGTTCAAGCCTTTTATTATAAGTCATTTTTTTCATTACAAGATTAGTTTGTATTCTTGAATTGACATCGATAGGTATACCAATGGCCTGAAATTAAAAATTAAATCATTATCTTATTATCAAAATAAAACATGAAAATAATTACTGCGATAAAAAAAAAAAAAAAAAAATTTAAGCGCTTCTTAGGTAAATTATTGATCTTGAAGTTTAAAAATTCAACTTTTCATACATTCTGAGTTCAGCGAATACTGCAAATCTAATTAAGATCACCTGATCTGTACAGATTATTACTATTTTACAAAATAAAATAATTCCGTTATCGTTCATTTACATTTAAAATCTATTAATTTTTTTTTTTAAGAATACTTTATGTTTAATGATATACAACTTTTCTAACTTGATAAAAACAGTCATAAACTACAACAAAAAAAAATTTTTTTTTTGGAATTTGAACTCTTTTTAATTACAAAATCGACAGTTAAGCAGAAATCCTCAAAACTTAGATAGGTCCACGCTGTTGAAAAAATCTAAACAACGGTCCATGTAAAACTAAAAAGTCATATGGTTTTAGGTTTATTATGAATTATGACAATGATTGTATCTCGTAGCACAAGTATTAATTTTTATGCAAAAATAACAAAATGTCGGTAAAAAAAAAAGAAAAAGTACATTTTTTTTTGCGTGATTTTTCGCACAAAAATATGTTAAAAATATGAATTTCGCAATAATTCTGCTACGAGATATAGCGATAAGTGTACCGAATATGCAGTTAAAATTTCATAATGATCGGTTCAGAAGTTTCTGAGATTATTTCAACAAGCGGTTCAGAAACGTTCTGGTATATACGCACTAGCTGGGAAGAACAAGCGCGCTCAGGTAGTAGAATTCAACGTACGAAAAAGCATAGTTAAAATGCTCCAATTTTTCTAAAATTTTGCCATAATATTTTTGAATATATTTACTTTCAAAAAATGCAAAAAAAAAATTCAAAATTTTGTAAGTGTCAAAGTAGAATAACTCCCCATAAGTTCAAAAATTTCAATGTATTACATCGATAGTTTTTTAAAACTCAAAAATAACGGAAAGTTTCATCGATGGATTTACGTGGTCAATCATATTTTACAATTCATGTAATCAGCGTAAAAAATAAAAGTTGTTGAAACTTGGACTCCTATAATTAAATTAATCGTCAAATAAAAGTTTTTTCAAACTTGAGTCAACGAATAGTATGGTCAACGCAATTACTGGAAGACATTTCAAAGGTCGCAAAAGAATCTAAAGATCAAAGATGTAGCTGGATTCTAGTATAAGAGTTAAGTTCGATAAATTTTTTAATTAACCGATTTGTCTCGATTTTTTAATCGGTTCTCTCAAGTTAATCAGACCTATAAGAATAAATCTTAATTAAAATTTGGCAGCCTTCTAAGCTGGTGATTTAACTAATCTCAGCGGATATTCATCTTATATACGAGTAAAATATTCAATATTAAATACTACTCTATTAGGATCAAAATTTAAGCAAAAGTATAATTTTATATTTAAATAAAATTATCCTAACCGGTTGGAGTACAACTCTTGTTTGATGTTTCTCACGGTCTGGTTGAAGGCCTTCGATGTCTTGTAGAAGACTTGGATCAGCGTTCAGGAAATGTGGCAATGACACTGCTGCTGGAATGTCTTAAAAAAAATAAAAAAAAAATAAATTTCAGAATTAATAAATGCTATAATTCCAAATATTTTTTTATTTAAAAAATTAATAAGAAGAAATAATCTACGTACTGTAATAACAAGGCGTTAGATCAGAGAGACCTTTTCTCAAACATTTTTTCATCTTACGACAGTAACATTCATTTTCAGGATTCATGTCAGGTGGATCAAGAAAATTGTCGGATAAAGTATATTCCCATCCGGTCAACCCTGAAGATGTTGTTACTTCATTCTTAAAAACTATTGGGAGCGCTCGACAGAAAGCCTTTCTAAACACTCGAAATACTGCACTTTTATCAAGATTTGATGGAAAAAGTGTACCTTCTGTAGCTCCTCTAATCCGGTTACAAATAGTATTACTGTGAAAAAATTTATTATGCAATACTATTGCATCAATTTTTTCTATATAGACGTTTAATGGATGTATTAGGAATCTTACCCCGGAATAGTTTCATTGCCTTCCTCTTCCTGATATCCCCAGTGCGCTAAGCCAGGACTACCATTATAGTTTTGAATACTCAAATACCGGCCATTTTCATCAGACATATTTTTATTTTTTTGAATATTCAGGTTCACCAAATTATCGCCTTCGTCATACATCTGTTAAAATAATATTCATGTGTTCAAAGTTCATTCAAACAGACAGGTAAGTAATATGCTTATTTCCTAGACATATTATATATGAACAAATATTTTTAGCCTTAAGTTGTTGAAATAAACTTTGCATTTTTTATTTTCGAATTAATAAAAGTGAAGGATCATGGTAAAACCATAGTTATACAGGTAGTGAAAGGTAACAAGAATTATTGCAACAAAACTCATGTGACGCATGTATTCATTGACGCAATATAAATATAAACGGGCTTAGCCGCATAATTGAGATTTTCTTTACTTATTAATTTAAACTTCAGTGAACTTTATTAACACAAATATAATAGAGAGAAATAAATCGTATATAATTATTGCAAATGTATACATTGTATATACCTTAGATTCTTCGTCTAGTGTAATAATCATATTTTATTCTTAGTATTTTTAATGATATTTGAAATTTTTAAATATTTATTTTATATACTAACCCTGTCAAGAAGTCCAAATTTCTGGAAGTTTATAAAATTTGGAACAATGCCACTAGCTAAACGGACTAATGGATCTTCATAGCCCCAAAAATATTCATACACAGTCATATTTACAATTGGTTTAGTATCCAATAAATTAGTTAATTGTACTAATGGAAAGTTTACAAAAAATCCGGCGTCAGCAAGAGCTGAGGAAATCCCCTATGAAATAAAAATATACTCGATATAAATAAGCATTTCGACTTGACTTTACAAATGAATTTAAAAACAGATAATATCTATATATTTTTACAAATATTTTTAATAATGGTTATAACCCGTCATTCATTAATTCATCACAGTGTTTATTAGTTTTTGAGGATTTCGGAAACACGTCATTTTATAAAAAAATTATATTTTTTAATCAAACATAATTTAATTATTTTAATAATAACAATGAAGAACTTATTTGTACAAAAAAAAAGTGTTTTTTTTTTCTGATAACAGGAAAGGGGGACCGTTAATAGAAAAGACCCGTGAATAACATTTGCTGAAATTTAAATTTTAATTTGAAAAATAATTTTATTGAAGTTTTATTGATACAAAATAGTTAATACTATTTCATCACGATAGGAATCTATATGCAAAAGGTTCAAAGCAATTTAATTCGGCTAAAAATGATTAAAGTGACTTAATTCCAACACTCTAGAGATATATACTTTAAATTGAGGGTATTTGATGTCAGAATCTAATTTTTTACAGTTTATCATCATTCATTATTATTATTTCTTGAGTGATAAATTTCTGCAACTAAAAGGGAGTTTTCTTGTTCAAAATAATAAAAATATTTAGCCAAAATTTATTGAACAAATATTGAAAACTGATGATATAAAAAAGAATAAATTATCTGGAAAAAATTCACTGTTCAAAATTGTTAACGTTTGACTAATTTTGAATTCAAAATTTGAAAATTAAAAACTTGGAAAGTCTCAGCTTATTAAAAATCATTTAAAAATTGGAAAGTTTTTTTACATTCTATGATTTTTGTGTTGTGTATACAAAATCAATTAAATCAAAGATATTTTACTTTTTTCGTGAACTTATTCCTAGCTGAAGCTCACATAGCTATTTATTCTTTACTTGATTATGTACATCAATTGAAAAGTATTTTAATCTTACCAAAAATGGAATGTTTGTCACAGTAACAATATCTTTCTTAGGATCGTTTATTGACATATCTGGACGATAAATGACCGTTCGTTTTGGTATATAAGTGATGGTGCCATTATCATGCCACACGATTTTGGTATTTTCTAAAACTTCTCTATAAATATATAGTGGTAAAATTAGAAAATTTTAATTAATGAATATGCCATTTAATTTAAATATTAACAAGCGACCTTTCGAACGAAATTGAAGAGCAAAAATTTATTGACAGTGTATTTTAATTAGATAAACAATTCTGAACTCTAAAGATTATTAATTATTATTATTCATATAATATTACAATACATACTGATAAACGTAAGGTCCAACTTCTTGAACTCGCAACTTTTCTTCATTATTCAAAAATGCTTCAGCATTCGTAATATTAAATACGTATACTTTGAGGAATACGTCAACGGGTGGTTTTTTCCACATCAGAAAAACTGTTGACGTCGGGGTCATTGTTAATTTCTGAAAATTACCATAAGTTATTTATCTCTCTAAAAGTTAAGTATTTTGAATAGCTAAAAAAACTATCGAAAGTATTTTTAATTTCTGCTATAAAAATAGAAATTTTTCAAGTTATTGAATAATGTATCCTATACTAGAACGTTATGTTTTTAAAATATCGAGATATATGGATTTAGTAGTAAAGCATTTTAAATCTGAACTGTAAAAATTACATTATTATTCTAATTAGCAAATATAATCATCGACCAGAATGTTTCTTTTTTTTTTGCTAATTTAAACTTTAATTGTTAAAATGATAACTATCCCTATAAATATCCACAAAAAAGTAATTATTTTGTTCTATATTATAATACTAAGGAAACTCTTTAACGTTTAGCTCTTCAACTTCGAGAGTCCCAACTATTTTTCACAAAAAATAACGCAAAGTTTCTATCTGTTGCCGTACATAATCTAGCTCAAAACATGTTCTTATTAAAATGTTTATTATAGTTATTTTTCAAACATTTTTAAGCTAGCTAATTTTTGAACCATTTAAGAAATGTTTATTTTTGTTAATAAAAGATGTGGACTTACCCATTTGAAAACAATATTTATTGGATCTAGAGCGTAGATTGTACATGATAGAATAGTACAGATGATGCCTACCATAAATATAATAAGACATTCTGAAATAAAAAAAAAAAATTGCAATAATAAATACATTTATCATTGAAGGGTAATATATAATGTTGTCACCAAACTTTTAAAACTGAGAGTTAATGATAAAATACTAAAATTAAATGCCAAGATCAATAATATTGCCTTGAATTAAGACCATTCACCCGGGACGATTTATTTAATCTTCAACTGTAATGACATATAACATAATTATATCTCATTAACTCTCACTGCATTAATATTTCATCGTTATTTAAAAAGATCGTGCACTTGTTTATAATTAAATAACCTGACATGATAAAATAGTTTCAATTAAAAAAAAAAAATTATTATTTATTGATGCGATAATGGTTATAATAATTTATCGATAGTTATTGAAATTAAATCGACGTAAGTGTGAAGAAACTTGATTAAATAACTTTTATTGTTAGACACAATATTCAAATGGCATCAATCGATACTTCGGAATTTTTTTTCTAATTAATCAAATTATTTTTTATTGTCCAAGGTTAACTATCAGATCAAAAAAAAAAGGTTGAAAAAAAAAAAAAAAAACGGAGCATATTTAACGATTTTCAATCGCAAATATCGTTCGTGCGTCCCAGTTTTCTGTTTACCTTGGCTTACATTTATTGTGACACAACATTCCCAATCACTATAAGAATAATTGGTGATAAATAAAAACTTGTTAAAGATCCATCATAACTGAATAAATACTACATTAAACATGGGAAAAAACATTTCTTATTCATAAAGAATAGCAACATGTTTGCTACGACAGTGAATCGATATCGGTATTCTCGCCAGTTCGGGATCATTGTCTACAACCGCGACTTCATATATTTTTGATCATTAGAAATCGAAAAATCAATATGATTAAACTTAAGTAAATCAATCACATACATTTTTTTTAAGTTTTAAACATTTTTTAAATCAAAGAATTTACAATAATTTTTTTTTACTTGATTTTTGTGAAGCATTTACGAAAAAAATATACACTTGTTTCATAAAAATTTAATTGTCAAAGATTTAAGCAAAAATATAATAAAAAAAACTGTAATATTTATTTATTTATTTATTCAATTTTTATGTCAAGGCAAAATAGCCGAATGACAATAATATACATAGTTCTTGTAATAAAGTACACGGATAGCAATATTAAATATATAAGAATAACATCATCATATTTTAAGAAAGATAATAATTTCGAATGATTAAATAGTAATGATTAAATAAGTTGCAAAATTCCATAATACTGCAAAATTTATAGGAATGAGAATAACAACAGAATAAATGAGCAATATTTGAGAGCTAGTTTTTAAAATGATAACATATTAAATACTTTAATAATTTAGAATGCAAATTTTAAATTTTAAATTTTAAATTTTTAAATTTTTAAAAATTTTTAAATGGCCTGTTTGACATTTATAATACACTGTCTCGTTCTAGTTTCATAAAAAATTCAAAAGCCTTGTTTTTGAAGGAGTCTATGCTGAGCGAGTTTATGACTTCAGTGGGTAGCTCTTTCCAGAGTCGAATTGCAGAGATAACAAATGAATGCTCGTAGATTGTAGTCGAGAAATTTGGAATTTGGAAAAGAATATTATTTGATTTTGCTGCAATTCTTTCAGATCTTCTGATTTCAGATGGTTCTTCTATAAAAAGACTCCTAAGGAATTTTGGTTCACCCGAGTTTAGAAGCTTGAACATAAAGCAAGCTAGAGCGTAAAGTCTTTTGAATTTGATTGTCAGCCAATTTAATTTATGCCTGTAAGGAGTGATATGTTCATCACGTCTAAGATTGAATATGAATCTGATACTGTTATTCACGAGACGCTGAAGTTTGTAGTCTAACTTTTTTGGTGAATCAAGAAAGACTAATGAACAATATTCGATAATTGGGATGATAGTGGACATGACTAAGAGCTTGCGAGTGGGCGTAGAAATAAGAAATCTATATTTTACTAAATATAAATTTGAAAAAGAAATGTAAAAAAAAAAATAGAACATATCCAGAACATTACGTTCGGATATAAAAAACTGGATCCCCACTCATAGCCCAAGAATGAGTTGATTAAAATACTGAACTCATTGCTTTACATAAATTTTTCACAAAAATTTCCGTTTCCATTTATTGTATGATCAATATATATATGTTTTTTATTCGACTTATTAAATGCGTAATTTATATTAAAAACGTCGAATATCATCATGAATTCATTAATAATTTACTGTCTATGATATAATTATCATCATTGGTGATATCAATTCACATTTAAATTATATATTACATAAAAATTACTATCGATTTTATAAATAACAGCGATTAATAATGAAATGATAATATCTTAATTAATGTCTATTTTTCTCAGTTGTTATTACCATACTTTACACGATGTGAATCATTAATTCTCGCATCATGACATTTCATTCAAATTTTTTTATTTAATAAAAACCTATTTAGCATAAGATTTTAAAGCAAAAAAAAGTGTCGCATATCTGAGATTTTACTGAACGAGCGACGAATTGAAATTAACATCAAACATATCGACGTTTGTCAGTAGTAATTATTTATTACCTTCGTCTTTTTACTTCATTTTTTTATAAACATAAAAAATTATTTTTAAAATCTTTTCATTTTGCACGTGAAACACTTAATCGCAATGTGACTAATATTCAATCAATTTTTTGTTCAACGAACTTTGAAAAACTCACTTTTAAATTCCTGAAGTTGCTGTGAGGTCTTCATTATCGTAATAGATATTTGTGGATTCTATCGTGGAACTTCTTCGAAATCTCTACAAAAAAATTAATCTATATTAATATCCTTATCGTTAAATGAGTTCTACACTTAGTTAATAGATTTTTCTAATGAAAAAAAAGAAATAAACGCTATTCAATAATGAATTTGCTTTTTTTCTTTTTTTTTTTTTTTCCAATCAATTGTAAGTTACAAACACAAAATATTTTAATGAAACAAATCAACAGCTGAAGACTAAATCATTAACTTAATAAATGATTTTTTTCTTGCAGTAATACCTCAAATGGATCATTTGTTATGAATTCTTTGCTTCAATTAAGGAAGTAAAATGTCTACAAGCCGTGTTTAATATTTAAAACTTTAACGAATCTGATTATATAAACAATCAAGGAATTTTACTTGTCCACACAAATATTTTGTTTGAGAAAGTAACTCTACATAAGAACAACATATAATTCTTCAATATAATACATGTTTTAATGAAAATTTACAACAAATCAAAAAATTTTTTGACGTTAAGAACTACTTTTAATAAAAAATTTATTATCTTGGTGCAGAACAAAATGAATGAAAAAATCAATTTTAACTAATATTAATAAGTACATCTAATAAATTCTACAATTAAGTAGAAATACTTAACAATAAAAAATTTGTTTTAATTGAATAACACAAAACGTAACATAGATGTATGAATTGGATTTTAATTATTTTATCACTTCCATTCACAATTTTAAAATATATCATTTAAAAATATAATAATTAAAGATTAAAAAACAAATTCTTAATGAGAATAATAAGAATGATTTACCTTGATAGGTATGTGAATTACTCCAAGATCATGCCGGTAATGGTTTGGTAGAATAAAATTTATCATAAAAATGCACTTGCACCAAAATTAAACCCTTTACGTACAAAATGAATCGTCCTGGCACGATAAATTGTTTAAGTGTACAGCGATAATGATGAGAAAATTAACGTCTCGTGGTAAAACAAGTAAACGTTTTTTTATGCAACCAATCAAATTTCAGCGAAAAAGTAAAGAGGGAATAAAATATCGTAATCTAAATTAAGTAAGCCTATTAATTGTTGTAAAAACCGGTAACAGGTAACGTTAGTTCAAACGCCGTATAACGTAACTGTCATGAATTTAAAAGCCGATAAATTGATTCAACTTGATTTTATAGTATCGGATGGCTGGTAACCCCACGACCCTTTTCCTACTACCTATCTATCACCAATATTAGTGTTATAGCTCAACTGTTAATCGACAGCCGTTAATAACATCTTTGCATTGCTCGTATTGGCCAAGGAGATGGTTGGTACCGGGTCTCTATCTCACTCTCTCTCTCTCTCTCTGTCTCTCTCTCTTTCTTTTGCTCTCCAGAAACCTCTGATACGATTTCTGCCGATTTTAACCGATTCCGGTCTTTTCATATAATGTTTTTTTATCGATTTTTTAATAATAATGATAACAACACAATATTTTTTCCAATTCAAAAATAATTTAATTACATTATTTAATTATTTATAAATATAAAATGATTTTTACTTATAAATTTCAAATTTATTAGTTAGGAACAAAAATTCTGTATTACATATAATTTAATGAATAGATACTTATGTGCTCATGTATTAGTATATATTTAAATTATAAATATATTTTTTTATAAATGAATGTACTCGAAAAACAAGTTTTTATATAGTGTTAAAAATATACGGAATGATAACTGACTTACATCGATACATAAAATTATATAAATTCATTTGTAAAAACGTAATATGGATACTTTCATAAAATGAATTTATATAATTTTATGAATCAATATAATGATTGCATGAATTAAGGGAACATTGGACCATAAAAATCTATCCGAAAAATTTTTGTTAAAAAATTATACCACGCGATAAAATCAAAGCATAAAAAATAATACAAATTTTCAAATATCTTTACGAAGAAACTTTTTGTCCTCAACTTTACTCCAAAAACGGTACAAAATACAATGAACTTATTTATAATTGACTACTTGTTAATAACTTTGAGAAAACCACCGAAAAAAATGTATTTATTAACCGTAAAAAATGTTTATTTTCACTTCGTTTCAAGTAAAAATAAACATATTGTTTCCTTAAGCCCATTTACTTTGAATAATTAAACCAATAATTCACTTGATTCAAATTAATATTTTAATTTCTTGGCTTTGTTTAATAACTCAACTTCAATTAAAACAAAATCGAGACAGCTTAAAATGGATAAACACATACACGTCCTTGATTTGAGCCCAGTAGAGGTTTTGTGTTTATAATTCAACTAATTTACTGAAACGATATTGAGTTTCAAAAACTTGCACTTAATAAATTTAATTTATGACTTATACACTGTTAAATTCTTTCTATTAGTTACTATTAACGTTTCTCACCTTTAACATTAAATTTCAAATAATGGAGTTATTATGTTAGAAGATATACTATTACTTGTCTTATTCTTGATTTTTTTTTAAAGCTTCAATGACTAGAAAATGTTGATTTAAATCTTTTATACTTTATTGGCATTTATTATTATTATTATTATTATTATTATTATTAAAAAAAAAAAAAAAAAAAAAAAAAGATAATAAAGTGCATGATGACAACATGAAGATCAAAAAGAGATATATTTAATGTTTAATAACTTTTCTGATTCTATAAGCATTACTGTTCTGTCTCGTCATATCGTGAATTCATGTGATAATTAATATCCAACAAATAAAGCAAAAATTATGCATGTCTGTATACTACTTCTTAGAGACCATACATATTTATTGCGTAAATGTTAAGTTATTTTTTTACGTACCGTTGTTTTATGGAATTCAAAATGATTAAACAACTTGTAATTATATACTTTTAAAGATAAACAAGTATATTGATTTATAATTAAGTGAAATAAAAAAGTTCAATTTTTAAACTAATATCCTACACAATTGTTTAATTTAGTTCTTATAAATTAATTATAATTGATAAAAGATTATTTATTTATTTAAATGAAAGTACTGATTAACTATCTCTTACAGTAAATTCTCACTTTAATATAAATTGTACATTGTTTTTCTTAATTAAAAAGATTTTCATTATTATCATTACTTAATAAATTAATATTACACATTGAAGATAGTTAAGTAAATAATCGTGACAAAAACTAAATAGTCAATATTTATTTATTTTGTGTAGTAGTAAGTTTCTTTGAACAAAAAATTACCTGTAAAAAAATTACTGAACTATGAATAATATTATTATTGTTGTTGTTATTATCATTTCAGAAAAGTTCTAGACTTTATAGAAGAGTTTCATGTAGGAAATCAAGATTCAAAGATTTATTAAGTAAACATACATTTCATTATCATGTCTGAAATTATGTATATTTTTTCACGGCCATGTATAAGTATTTTTTACTTCAATTATCACATGATATTTTAAAATTATAGAGCTATGTCAAAATGAAAAAAACGTGTGCGCAATCCGGAGGAGAAGAGATGAATCGCCAATTATTTACTGATGTATGTAAGGGTTTGTCAGAATACGCAAAAAGTTCATTACAAAATCTTAAATCATTGACCTATGACTTTCATGACGTTTCTATGATAGACACCTTACAAATCCAAAGGCGAAAGAATGTTAAATCCATCGCTGTCTTTTTAACCTTGATTATATTATATATCCTCTGATGAAACCTGAATTGAATTCGTGGATTTCTTTTAGCGAATAACTGAATCGTGTATAGATAAAACCAAGGATCAATATTATTCAATTAAGAAAGAAATTATGATCATACTATTTTTAAAAAGTAAACAGAAGATCAATTTCTCAAGCATTCAGATTGAATAAAAAAATCTGAAAAACGGTTGACCCTAAAGGCCATCCCTGCAACTTCCCACCAATTCCACACCTAAACGCTTAAAATTGCACTTATGACGTTTCTGAGCTCTTCGAGCTCAAAAATACAATTTGTGTGTTATTTTGAGCTCTCCGAGCTCAAAGAATTGCCTCTTGTATGCTTCAGAGCTCTTCGAGCTCAAAAGTCTGATAGAAGTTTAATACAACAGTATTTTTTGAATTTTCAAACTACAATCATTTCTAAATGAATGAATCGATTTTCACGCGGTTGTCAATAATCCACGCACTTTTTTAGAATCTATGATAGACTATTGAACACAAACTGATCGAACCGAAAATCTTAGAGAAATTTGAAAAATTCACTTTTTCCGAATTTTTTCAAATTTTTTCGATAACTTACGAACCAATCAACCAATTTTCACGTTTTTGGTAGTGATCGACGTGATTTTTTGGGCTCTAATAATTATTTTATTTCGTCAAAATCAATCCGAAAAGAAATGTCGAAGTTATATGAAAAAAACACTTTTTTCGAAATTTTTCGTTTTTGATAACTCTCGAACGAATTAACCGATTTTGACCGGTCCAACGGCAATCGACGTGGTTTTTTAAGGTTAAGAGCTGATTAGTTTTTGGAAGTGATCGGTGAAGCCATTTAAGAGATTTTTTGAAAAAATATTTTTTTTGAAATTCTGCGTTTTCGATATCTCACGAACGAATCAACCGATTTTGACCGGTCTAACGACGATCGACGTGGTTTTTCAAGGTTAAGAGCTTATTAGTTTTTGAAATCAATCGGTAAAGCCGTTTGAAAGTTATTCCAAAAAAACGATTTTTTGAAAATTTTGTTTTTGAGATTTCTAAAAATCTAGCGAACCGAATCGATTCAAATTTTCACGAAATTTAATGGCAATGATACTCTTTGGATCGCCACCTATTTCGATCCGATCGGCCAAGCCGTTCAAAAGTTATAAGAGGTTTACATACACACGGAGAAAATAAAACAGCAATGATTACTGCTTCGTATAAATATTAGAAAAATGTTCATCGTCAGTAGTGAGCGCTGTACGAAACACGACTGGATCGTGCCAGAACACGACTCAGTAGTGTACAGACAATAGTCA